TTCTGGCCGGCAAAGAGGCCGGATCGAGCCGGAAGCAGCCTTAAGACGGGGCTTGCATGGTCTTGGCCAGCACACGCACCGTTTGATCTTGGTCGCGGCGGCCCGGGATGAGTTGAGGCACGCTGATCTCGCGTCGGCGGGCTGATGGGAGGGCGAGTCACCACAAGGAGCTGATACAAGTTGCGGGGTGGCTGTCGAGCCACGTGTCGAGCAGTCGCGTGAAGATGATACATCTAGACAAAAAATTGCGCCGATGGAAAAAAGCGAATGCGTGAGCAGGGTTACTTGCAGCTGGCGTCGAGCAGGTGCCACGGGATGGTCTTTTACTTCGAGGGCAACAGCTTGGGCAGTCGGGCGTAGTGGGCCTTCCAATTCCCAACTACGCCGCAAGAGATCGTGAAGGGCATGAGACATCGTCGGAGTTCGGGCAGGCCGATGACCCTGGAGCAGGTGCTGCAGCAACCCCTCTGGCAGAACCTGCAACCGTGGGGCTCGAGTAAGGGGCCACGACATGCAGAGAGAAGAACAAGCGCAAATCCTTCCAAGCCTTCCCCCACGAGGGTGCCAAGACTGCAAAAGGTGGAGTAAAGAGAAAAAAACGCAAAGCTACACGGACGGGGTAGATGGGACCAGTCTTGCAGCTGGCTAGCTGGTGCACGTTGTGGGCCCAGGTCCAGATATCAGCAGCCTGTTCGACCCCAGATGTCCAGCGCGCCAGCACGCTGGGAGCCAGCGACTGCATGAAGCAAGGTAGAAAGAACAAACCGGAGTTAAGACGCTTGGAAGAGGACAGCGCAACCGACAAGATTGTCATGCCTTGACGCACCGGATAGCAGGGAAGGCGGACACGATCTTGCAGGGACAACTGTATATGCACATCAAAGCTGCTGGTAAAATCCGCCAGCTTGAGTGTGTTCTGTGCGGTGAGGGCAAAGGATGCCAAAGGTGCTGCGCCAAGGGTTAAACCAAGCTGGTGGCAATGCGCCAAAGCCAGAATCATGTCCAGACCGCATGCCAGCAGTTCGGCCTCCATCAGCGAGTTTTGGTCTCGATGCTGCTCCATCTGCTGTAGTGCTACGTCCAAAGGCATATCAAGACCGTCCTGAGGTAGGAACAGAGGAAGAGCACGAAACAGGAGGAGAAGGTCGGTTGGTGAGCATGAACGAACCACCGCCAAGGAGCGCAACGAGAATGGCAGGCACACGATGGTCGTCTGGCACGATGGGTTCGCTGGTTCGCTGCCAACCTCAAGGACAAGGGCATATTCGCTGGGAGTTTGATAAAAGCCAATCAAAGCAGCCACGTTGGGGTGCGGCTGCAACGTGGCCAGGTGCTTGAGCTCATAGCGCCAGCACGCGAGCTGCTCACTTCGGGCAGCGGCCACAAGCAAAAAGTGGGCCCGACAGCGTTGAGCGTGGCGAGCAGCGGACTTTGGTCGCTCAACTGGCTGGATGGAGCAGCGTTGAGTCTCATGATATCGGCCACGCGAGCGCGATTCGAGGGCGTGTAGCTGCTGCGGCGCAAGCCCGAAGCGCGGCTGCAGATCACTCACATGCCTAGTAGTGTCAACAACGTAAGATGCGGTGTGTGCACGCGCTTGGTACAGCGGAACGAGGAATGCTAGCGTACACGCTCTCAATTGAAATATTGCGCGGGTCGCTCTGGTGACGCAGACGTCGTCGATTTGCTAGCAGCATTGAGGCCATGCCCAAGACCAGGGCCACAAGCCAGAGGAGTGCAAACAAGAGCCATGGGCGCCAGTCGTGCGCCAAGTCCCACATCGTGCAGCAATATCAATACCTCTGCCTCCTGCCGAGATGGTCATGTACTCCCGCAAGCGTATGTTTCCTCAGCCCCCAACAACCGACGCAGATGGTCGAAAGGCGATCACCCAGCAGCGAGCCCCAAAGCCAGCCAGGTGCTCTTGAAGCGCACGTCGCGTCAAATTTTTCTTGAAAAAAAAAGGAAAAAAATTTGCAGTAAAAGTCTGACAAAACGGAGAATTTATTATAGTGGGCGAAGGCAGTGAGACACGTCGGCTGTTTCGAATCTGAATTTTTTTTTCAGAGTTTTTGCGTGTGTTTGGTCGTGGTGAGCAAACGTGCACACACACACACACACACACACACACATGCACATGGGGCGGGGAGCTGAACGGTCTTGTCGTCATCGTCGTCATCGTCGTCGTCGTCGTCGTCATCGTCGGGTGGGATGGGGTAGCCAGGGCCGGGGATGGAGATTTGTATTGGGAGAATACCTGTCTTTGGGTCATGTTGGCGCGGAGCTCATTTCATGTTGTTGTAGGGGCAGGACTAGCTGGGCGACAAGGCAGGGCCATGTCGGCAGCCCATGCACAGTCGCCGTGGAGCCGGATTTGGCTTCGCCGCTGGGACCAGGTTGGATTGCCCACACCAGCTTTTGTTTGCCCTCAAGCCGTCTTGCAGATACATGGCACGCCGTTCTCATCAGATTCGGTGTGGGGTGCACCACCAGGCAGCGCGCGCTGAGCGGTTTCAGCTCTTGCAACAACTCGAAGAGCGACTCTTGGCGCAAGATCGGGGATCATGGCCCTTTGAAGAAATGCTTGGCGCCAGCGCGGAGCTGGTGCTATCTCGGTTACTTGCCAGTCTGCGCCTGAGGTGAGTCCTTGGGTCTCTGTGATGCTTGCGGCAACAGGAGCGGGCTGGTACGGTGTCAGTGTCGGTTGTGTCTGCGCATCGTCGGGGGGCGGGCTGATGCAAGGGTTGGGCTGCAGTCGACAGGGTCGCGATGCCAACGCCGAAACCTGTCTTCATTTTATCTCGGCGGCTCTTCGACTGGGCATCAGGTTGGTTCGGCCTGCGTTCTCCAGTACAAAGGCAACCCTGGGCTTGCTCAATGAGATGCCGCTGATGCGCCCATGTTTGCTGGGGGGCCGCGTGTACAAATGGCTTGATGGAATGGCGTTCAGTGGGAGCTTGGCGGCTACGTTTGTCGAGGCGGGTGGATGCGCCATCATGCTTGAGATGCTGCGGCGCCGCAGCTTGCCTCCGAATCTGCTAGCCCGACTCTTGGAAGCTTTGTCTGTGGCGCTGGCCACAGAGCGCACGCTGCGCTTGTCGCTGCTGGATGCACCGCTTTTGCCTCGCGTGCTTGCTGCGCTTCGCCACAGCGCGGAGGCAGTGACACACATGGCTGGACAGGATCTCTTGGTGACTCTGATTTCTTGTAGGTTTGGTCCCGATGGCAGCATCGGCGGGATCGTATCGACAAACCAGCCGGATTCGTAATTCTTGCCTGACAGCCAAAACCGTCCCGGTAAACATAGACCATGGTCCCGACGTGGGTGTGCAGCGTTTACTGACCACGCTGGAAACGGCACACCCTATGCTTCAAGAGACGATTGCGCGTGCGCTGTTTCAGTTACTACCGGTTGGCCTTGCTGTGGTCTAGCGCCTCGTTCTTCATCCGAGCAAGACGTCCCCGGAACGTCCCCGGGACGTCCCGTGCAGCCCGATGCCGCGATTGTTTTTTGGTTCATCGTATTTTCTCTGTCTGGTGTGTGGGGTGGATTAGATGTGCGGACAGCGTCATCCTTCGCTGCCAAGCCGGATTGTGGGGTTGATGAGCAGCCATGAGCTGTCAGTGGCCTGTGCTGGTGGGTTGCGCGGCTCTGGGCCCGCTCGCTGGCATGCAGCTGCATGCCAATGGGCGCACCACTCCAAGAGAACTTGGTGTGACTGAAGGTGGCTGGTGCTGATGATGCTGATGATGCGGGCGTGTGTTCGTATGGTAGCTGTGGACTTGATTGTGGAGCTGCACCAGCGGCACTCACCGCACGCCGAGCGTTTCCTGGATGAGCTGCGCTCTGTGTTACCGACGGTGAGGCCCAACCGTCGGGGATGTGCCTGGGTCGCACTTTTGTGCTCATTGGCTCTTTTGGTGTCGGCCTGTTACAGATGGGGCCCATGGGACGGGGACAAGTTTTGCGGTGTTTTGCGTTGCTACTGAGCGTGATGCCCCGGGAGACGCTGGCCAAACTCGACGAAACACAAGCACTGCCATTGGTGCTCGCCTCCATCGGGTCTCCAGATCTGGTCTCGTTGCAGGTCGAGGCGCACAAGCTTGTGCAGGCATGGAATCGCCTGGTGCCGCTGGCGGCACGCATTGAGGCAGTGTGCGGGACCGAGCTGACAGCCATGCTGGTACGTACACTTGCTGGCGGGCGGTCGGGGTCGAGCGTTATGCGCAGAGAGGGTGTGCTGGCGCGATTTGTTTTCTGGCGCACATGCAACAACATGACGCATTGTATTTCATTGTATTGGGTGTCTTTGTAGCTGGCGCCGGAGACGGATGCGAGCATGCTGGGCAAGCTGAGCACTCTTCAACTCCAGCTGCTGCGCAGCAATGCCGCGTTGATGGGTCCGTCCATCCCGGCTGGCGCGAGTTGAAGCAAGTTGCTGTTGTCATGATCATAGAAGCCGTCGTGCCTAGTAGAGACGGACTGTTGCCATAGTAGTTTGGTTGTTCATATGTAGTAGCCAGTTGGTGTTGATGATGAGTTGTGAGTTGTTTCGCTGTGACGTGATGGGGGAGGTTGCTCGGTCGTGGGCCGTGGCCCGGTAGACGGAGCCCCTCACCCATTGCTGTTATGTGCTCTTAATCTCACGTCCACACCGAACCAAGGCACTTTCCGGCGCGCGGACAGGGAAAGAGACCAGGCAGGCAGTCAAAGACTCAAAGCACATGGAGTGCGTGGTGATGGCGGGCGGGTGATGGTCGGGTGAAGCAAGAGGACTGGTTGCAGCACGCTTTGCTTTGGGTAATCGCCTCCGACGGAAGCGGACAGGTTCTGCTTTGAGGCTGATGGGTGGGTGAACCCCCATCAGCTTGGCAAGCATGACGTAAGGAAAAGCCATACCATCACCCTACCATGTCGGCGATGGGGAGGTTGGCGGGAGAATCCACGAGGCTCGGCCTACCGCGCGATGGGGGTCGCGAAGCCTCGCACATGGGTTGGGGCTCGATTCCTCCTTTGTCCCTTTGTCCCTTTCACCCTTTTAACCCGTTTGACCCTTCTCCTTCTCAATGCAATGCACCCCTTCTAACCCACAGACATCCCCAAAAATCATGACAATGTCATTTAAACATGCAAGCTTTTGGTTTCTTGCTAAGCATCACAACGCTTGTGGCCCCCATCTTCTGTGTTCTGAGGAACTCGCTACCTCAGCTTCATCTACCACGCCGACCAGCAAATGGGACAGTTTCGCGCCCCACATCAGTGCACCACACGTACCACTTGCTCATGTTCCACCCCCGACGTCTCCATCATCAACACGAAGTTTGCACGCGCTGCTCTCTCTGACGAGACGACCACGATTGACCCAATCTCTGCTCGAGCTTGGTTCTATCACCCCTCACCCACGCTTTGCGACACCCTTTCTCTCGTTGGTCTTTGCCTCCGCAAGCATACCTCTTCCCCTGAACCGACCGCCTGCCTGACCGACAGACCGAGACGACTGACCGAGACGACTGACCGAGACGACTGGCCGAGACGACGGTCGACACGACGGTCGAGACGACGACTGAGACGACGGCTGAGACGACGACTGAGACGACGGCTGAGACGACGACTGAGGCAACGGCCGAGACAACGGCCAAGACATAGACAGCGACAAGGACTGCAACGGCGCCGAGCGAGCCAGCAATTCTCCTGCAGTGATACGATAACAACAACCCTCCCTCTGGCTGGCCAACCCTTGGCTCGCGCCACATCTAACCACGAGCTCGCTCGCTCACACAACAACGCATCAAGGCACACATTGCTCTTTCAAGAGTCCGTGTGCGTTGTTCTACTCTGCCTGCTTCGAGTCTGCTCAAGACCCCAACACACTCGCGCGACTCGACGCAAAGATACCACACACCCAACCACATTCCCAACTTCCAAGGCACGACACTCGACCCCTCACACCTTACTCTTCCCCCCAAACTCCCTTTCCCTCTCTCTCTACAAACCAATTCATCTCTCTCTCTCTCTCTCTCTCTCTCTCTCTCTCTCTCTCTCTCTCTCTCTCTCTCCACACACACACACACTGTGTCTCACCCTTCTTCCAACGTTGGCGTTGGCGCACGCACACAACCATTTGGTTCATCACATTTTTTTTTCTCTCTTTCTCTCTCTCTCTCTCTCTCTCTCTCTCTCTCTCTCTCTCTCTCTCTGTGTCGTCGTCGTGTCGTAGAGCTCCTTCGCCCCACATTTGGGGTGCGAGTTGGCAACCACGCACGCAGCTTCTTCCTTCCTCCTTCCTTGGGTCAAAGGACTCCGATCCATCAGACCCCACCACCACCGTCACCACCACCGTCACTGCCGCTTGGCAACCCTTTGCCTGCCCGGCTCGGCTTCGTCGCGGGTCATTTTACAACCAAGTTTTCTTGCTGGGCGTGTTGGTCTTGCTTGGTGATCAGCCCTTGGCGTGCCTCGCCTCGCTCGCGTGCCACACGTTGTTTGACCCAGCCCTTGCCTGGACGTCGCCATGGCCAGCAACCTTGCCGTGCGCCGCGGGCGCCGACGTGCCGAATCCGCCCCAGAGCGGGCCACCTGGAACCCGCTCTGGGTTGACTCAGACCCCCCCGCGCCCATCCCCAGCTCCCGCTACCCAGCGGTAAGTCGCCGTCACCGTCATGACCCACGCTCACTCAA